AGAAAATGCACGTGTAATTCACAAAAACAAAGACGTTCCCCACCATGCCAGGTCCAATTATAGAGAGGAATAGTGTTCCTTTAATAATCATCAGAAACATCTCTTACTTCATGGGCAGGAAAACTTTGGATCTACCAAACACCTCTTGAGGAAAGCAACAGTAATGATGATATGTATCTGCAAAGAATAATATCAAAGGGCTTTTCTAGTGTATAAAGGACAGTCAGGATATATGTAATGGAGCAGATTTTTGTACAAAGAACTCTCTATTCCTTTCCCTGGGAGCACTGTTTGTAGATCATCCAATGTGGCTTCAAATGCAATCTTGGGAATAAGAATACAAAAACCTAAATTTGCAATCTAGATTTTGGTTTCTGGCTCCATGCCAGCAAAGACAACCTATGTGCTCAATAGTTTATATATTCCAGATATTTTCAATCTCAGCATGGGCTGAATTGAACTAAAAGTCCCCCAACCAATGTCACCCTGTGTTTTCTACTTCGTCATATGATATTACCATCAGCCAAATGGAGAAAATCTGGGTCTTCTTCTTAACTGCTCCACCTCCCTACACCCCACAACAGGGACTTAATAACTCCTCTTGCTTCCACATCTTTCATAGTTCACAAATTTAGCCTGTCTTATCTGTCATCATGCCCCTTCTTATATTCAGCATCCATCACATACTTGTTTGATTAGTACAACAATTTCCTGGTTTGTCTCCTGATTATTTCAATTTTTATATCTCTGATGCATACACCTTAATAGTTCCAGACTTGTCTTTTAAAGCCCAGAATGATTCTGTGAGTTCATTGCTTACAAGTTTTCAATGGGTTTTCCTAGTTCTCAACATCAAATCAAACTGCATAGCCTTTTGAGATAGGACCCCAACTTTTAAAGCCTAATCGGCCAACGACCTCCAGAAACAGTTTGTGGGCTGCAAAATTCAGATCTGACCCTAGGCAAGGGTGTGGGGGGACCTTGGAATGCTGCCTGCAAGGGTCATTATAGGAGGTCTGAGCCCCCCTGAGGAATCTGAGGAGACTCTATGGGAAGCCTGGATAGCTTCAGGATGTGTTACTATTTCCCAGGGAGGAGGAGTGGGGTGTTAGGAAAAGACAATTAAGAAGGAACTGGGTGCTGTCAGGAATTGAGGGTAGTTTATGAATTAGGGATCCCTAATACTGGTGAAGTGAAGCAACATGGGGAGGGGCATCTTTGGTAAGAAAAGGGAAATCACTCAAACGGTTGTAATGGCCTTCCACCATTGCTGAATAACCCCGGAGAAACAATGTTTTCAGGTAATTTAGCAGTCAGCTTTACCACGTCTGTTTTCCCAACCTGGTTAACAGCAGAACTGATTCGATTGTTAAGAGTCCAAACCCACTGTCAACCCTTCAAGCCCGCATAAAAACTTACTCTTTCATCATTAACCTAACCAATCTCATTTTTCACCTAGAAATTCATTTAAAACTGCTGACAATTTCCCCCAAAATAAACCAGGATGTTTGATTTAACTTCCAGGATTTGCATAGATTCTATATACTTGGGAAGCCTTTCCACAAGCCTTCACCCCACTCCCCATATCCTACCAAAGTTGTAAAAATTTAATGACCGATATTCAGTACTTTTCTGTATAAAATGTTTCCCATTTTTCCAGCCTTCTTTCCATCTTCCCCAAATCTCAAAGCTCTGAGTCCGAATTGGGACCACTTTCTGTATCTCCTAATAAACCACGTCTCTTTCTTTCTGACGGAATAATAGGAACAATGTCAGAGGGGGGAGGGATGGTACTCTCCCAGATTATGTTTTGGAAATGGTCAAGTAAACAATTGTAGAAGACATGCTTCACACTCAATAGTTGGGTGAAGCCCAGTCCGGATCTGACACCCACCAGCTGAGCCAAGTCAGTGCATCGCTCTCAGCCCGTTTTCTCCACTAAAAAATGAGATGAGGGCTTCCTGCTATGGAGACTGTGGTAAAGTGAATGTGGACAGCCTCAGGGTATTCAAACCTGGCAATTCAAAAGTAGGAAATTGCAATGGAAAAAAAGACAGTCTCTTCAATAAATGGTGCTGGGAAAATTGGACAGCCACATGCAGAAGAATGAAACTCGACCATTCTCTAACACCATTCATGAAGATAGACTCAGAATGGATGAAAGACCTCCATGTGAGGCAGGGATCCATCAGAATCCTAGAAAAGAACACAGGCAGTAACCTCTTTGACATAGCCCACAGCAACTTCTTTCAAGATACATCTCCAAAAGCTAGTGAAACAAAAGCAAAAATGAACTTTTGGGACTTCATCAAGATAAAAAGCTTCTGCA